CTTTTATTATCCTAGCCTGCTACCCCCAAGACTTCCCTTATTCATTCACTGAAGATGGATGATGCCCATAAGAATTATTTCTCACAAACTGACCTTGCAGTCTATTGCATTAACCCCCTGTGCCAAACCAGGACTCTGTTAGATTGTTGGAGCTCCTCAAATTTAATATTATCAAACTGATTTTATTACTCTTTTCCTTTCAAATCTACCCCTCATCCTCTCTTTCCTCTTTTTGTGTATGATCTAATCTTCTATGACTTACATGACTGGGGAATCTCAAACTCTCTTGTCTCACATACATCCCTCAACCTTATCAAGACAACAATTTGTCTGCATCTAATTTTTTTCTGGAATCTGTTCCTTTCTCTCTATTCCAAATACTCTCATACCCGACATCAGTAGTGTATTTCCTGTGCTTTTCTGACTTCTCTGTCTCTGCTATCTCCTTAAAATCTATCATTCAGACTGCTGCCAGTTTTTTGTTTGTTTTTACTAAATCACTGCCATGTTTTAAAAAATAAAATAGAAGAAAAACAAAAGTTTAGAAGAAAAACAGTTATAACAGTTACCAGCAGAATTGCTGAAAGTCCTAAACTTATTTCCCATGATAGTTGAATTATCTATACAAACTCCTTGAATAGCAATATCTGATAATGCCTCATTCTTGCTGGGTGACTGAGACTACAATTCATGAGGAAAATAGCCTGGGTTTGAATCCAGGTCAGTCTCTTAGACCAGCTTTATGACTCTGAACAAGCCACTCAACACCTATGTTTGCCATTTCTCTCATCAATGGTGGCATCTCTTTTAGGATCTTTTTATAGAAATTAAACTATATAGGGTATAGGAATATGATGTGGAGGACCAGAGCAATATGTCTATCCATAAGCATTTGTGTCATTGTGACTAACGCTAGTTAAATTATTGGCCCCATGAGTTGGTAAGCTGTTTGTAGGCCAAGGATCTTGGTTTGTTCATAACTGTGAGGGTATATATATATATATATATATATATATATATATATATATCACAGATTTTCAGTAGACATTAGTTAAAGTACACAGAATGAATATGGAGTGTGGTCAAGGCATATTTAAAGATAAAATGGTTTGTGTAGATGCCACAAACATTAGTCATTTTATTTGTCTAAATCAACTTTAATTTACATTTAATAAAATTTATCAATTTAAAATATACAGTTGAATGAATTTTGACAAATTCAATTACCATTCCCATCAAGAAATTTCCATCACCTCACTTCAAAATTGTCCTTTGTACTTCTCTGCTGTCAAACCACAGATCTAGTTTCTGTCACTATAGATTAGTTTTTCCCGACTTTTTTTAGTTAGAATTGTACCTGTATTTCAATTTTATTGACCTATTTTTCTATAATCTATCTATCTATCTATCTATCTATATAGTGAAAAAAGAAAAAAAAATACATGGGCAAGTTATTTGGGGAATGAGTCTTCAGTGGGTTGGACTTAACTGAAATGGAAAATACTATCTTGTGCTTGCATAGCTGTTCTATTTTTGAAACTTTCTTTTTTGTTTGTTGACTTTTTAGTCATTTTTGGCACAATCCAAAGTGCAGCACAGTAGACTATATATTATTTTATATTTTGAACCCTGACTTCCAACAAGGTGAGGACGGAGTACTGAAAATGCCTCATTGCCAAGATTCAGATCTACAGTTCTTTACTGCACCTTATGACTATTAGTGAATGAAAGAACTCTATGTCCTGGGAGTCAGATTGCAAGACAGGATCCCTAAAACCTATTCAGCTCTAGATGCTCTCTGGAGGAACATTCCATAGGCCCAGGGGAGAGCTCTGGCTATTAGAGCAGTCTTTGATGGTGACACTCAGCACTCTGAGTTTGCACTTGGGGCCACAATGATTCTGTAGAGGGTTTATAAGAGTGCTCAGGTGGGTAGCCTAAAATTGTGGCGCTCAGGAGGAGTGGGGGAAGGGGTCTGAGGCCGGACATGGCCTGTAGACTTGGGTCTTGAAACACACACTCACACAAAGGAGGCCGGAAGGTGTCCGGAGGAAGCCAGCACGTCACAGAGTCCGGAGCTGGGTCTCTGCTGCCCCCGCCCAGCTGTGTCCCGGGTACACAAGCCCTCACTCCCGCCCTGCTCACAGCCACTGCCACCAACGCGGCCGCCGCCAATGAAACTCCTCCCGCTCCTAGGTGAGTGCTCAGCTCCCCAGGTCACCTGAAGTTGTGGGATAGGCAGTTCCACTTGTGGGGAAGGGATCTTTATAAGGTGTAATTTACTTTACAAGTGGATTTGGCAAACCACTTCTCTTTCCCCGCCAAAGAGAAGAGGAATCATTCTCAGGATGATTGTATTCTTGGCCTTTCAACTCTGAGGATTTAGGGCCTAGGGACTAGTTACCTTTTTAAATTTCTTCTGTTATGGTCTCAAGGATGCCTAAAGAATGAGACTTTGACCTTTCCTCTGACCTTTTGAAATCCAAAACTTTTAACACCTATGGGAGGCTTCTTGGCATTTTGAGGGGATTGCCCGCTTAGACTTTGGGTGTATTTAAAATACCATTTGGTGAAGCTGTGAAAGAAGATAATAAATCAAATCTTTGAAAGCAAATTAATTCTGGTTTAGACAGCATGTAGTGTCCTATGTGAGACTGGAATTTAGAATTGAATGCTTAAGAATCTCTTGGTACCAGATAAGGACAATTTATCTCAGATGACTGTTTTCAGAACAATAACTTGCATGATTCATAACTGTCCATCCCTAAACAGGCTTCTCTTCTGAAGGCCTAGAACAACAATAAAAAAGGGAACTTCCTAATGTTTTTCTTATCTTATCCTAGCAGTCCACAAAATACCATTTCCAACTTTATTTTCAGTAACTCTGAAATAAAGTGTTCTTTTTTATGCTTCTTATTTCTGGGTCATGTTTGTGTGGTATTCTATTTCATAAAGATCAATCTTTGATCATCATGTTTTGTTTTAATTTCTCTTAGTTGAAAAAAGAGTAAAGGAAATTTTATTATTGAAAAGACAAAATTAAAATTGATCATTACAACAAAGAAAAAATAATCATCACATTTGTTCTCAGGGATGTTAAGATTGTTGCTCTTCATTGAAAAATACAACAGATTTGAATTTGAATACCCAATTTGCTTTGATTTCTGCACAGAATTTCTCCTAGAGAGAGAAAATTGCTTTACAATCATGCAAAGTTACCTTTGAAAGTATCACACCTCAGGGTGAACAGCTGTACATGTGTTTGATGTCTATGGTACAAGCATCTTCAGAATGCTGTTTTCTTTATAAAATTGGGCTGTTTACTACATTTTAGCTTAGTTGAGATTTACTTGATGAATTTGAGAATGATGAAAAGTCCTAATCGGTTTGTTTACCTGCTTTTGTGCTGTTACTTAGCTGAAATTTCCTTTGAGAACAATCTCATAATCCATTTATCTAAATGGAAAGAAAAAAGTGTTTAAAATTTTTTGTAGAGAAAAGATGATAATGGGCTATCAGTATTACAACTGACAAAGTGCTATTATGTACTTGTGCTTTAACTCAGCAACATATAGAGGTTTTTTTTTTTTTTTTCTTTTTGAAAAGATATATTTCTCTATTTTATTTAGTGGGTTTTTCCACTTTGCTGGATTGTACCTATTCGCAAAATTGCACCAAGACACCTTGTCTCCCAAATGCAAAATGTGAAATACAGAATGGAGTTGAAGCCTGCTACTGTAAAATGGGATTTTCAGGAAATGGTGTCACAATTTGTAAAGGTAAACAATCTTTAATACTTCTTTGGATTTTATTGTAAAAATAAGTTCTGAGATAATTGTCTTGGATTTTATTGTAAAAATAATTCTGAAGTTGTTGCTGAAGTGTTGGGTACGACTCACAGCTACCTTAATTCTGAGGTAAAAGTCTAGCAATTAGCTTGTTTTGTGTTAAAAAGCTAAACTAATCAATAAGTTTGAACTAACCAGGCCAAAATTTCGATACTTGATTATTGATTATTCATGACTACATGCTCTACCTTAGTTTTAGTGTGAATGCTAAAGATTGTCATGAGGGATAACTAAATTCTGGAGAGCAGAGTCAATAACTTTGAGACCAGAGGAGCAAAGGTTTTTGGCCTTCAGGCTATAAGGGTGTGTTTCACTCTCATGTAACTTCTTTAGTACCTGAGTAAGTATGTGAGGAGCCCGCCCTTGTGTGGTGTTGTAGGATAAGCACAGGACTGCTGTCTAAAAGGTTGGTAGTTCAAACCCACTAGCTGCTCCTCAGAAGCCCTATACAGGATCTCTGTGAGTCAGCACCAACTCGATGGCACATAATAGTAACAATGCATGTGACTATGTAAAGGCATTCAATGTGTGGATCATAACAAATTATGAATAACATTGTAAGGAATGGGAATTCCAGAACACTTAATTGAATTATGCGTAACCTATGCCTTGGTAGCGTAGTGGTCACGAAGCGGGCTGCTAACCTCAAGGTTGGCAGTTTGAAACTACCAGCTGTTCCGCAGGAGAAAGATGAGGCTTTCTGCTTCCGTAAAGATTTACAGCCTCGGAAACCCTGTGCAGGGGCACTATGAGTCGTAACCGACTCCACGGCTCTTAACAACAACAACAACATACATATATGGTGTGGCGCTATGGGTTAATGCTCCAGACTGCAAATCCGTTTTAACTGCAAGGTCAGCAGTTCAAGCTCACCATCTGCTCCTTGGAAACCCTATACAGGGTCGCTATGGGTCAGAACCGACTCGACGGCACTTCACAACACAACAACAATACATAAACAAAGCCGATTGAACTACCAGGTTGGCAGTTGAAATTCACCAGTTGCTCCTCAGAAACCTACACAGGGTCGCTATAGTTCGGAGCTGACTGGATGGCACTTAAAAACAATAACAACAACGTCTTGTGTAGACAAAGAGGCAGTCATTTGAACAGAGCAAGGGGATACTGCATGTTTTAAAACTAGCAAAGTTATGTGTCAGGGTTATATCTTTTAACACAAATCTGTATGCTGAACAAATAATCTGAGAAGTTGGAGTACTTGAGAAAGAAGAATGCAACACCCCAATTGCTTGCTGAAAGCAAAGAGGATTTGAAGATCTTAACTGATGAAAATCAGAGACTACAGCCTTCAGTGTGAATTGCATTTCAACATAAAGAAAATAAAAATCCTCACAACTGGACTAATGAGCAAAATGTTGTCAAACAAAGAAAATATTGAAACTATAAAAGTTTGCATTTTTCTTGTGCTCATAATCAAGTCCCATGGAAGTAGCAGTCAAGAAATCAAATTCCCATTGCATTGGGAAAATCTGCTGCAAAAGAACTCTTTAAAGTGTTAAAATGCAAAGATGTCATCTTGAGGATTAAGAAGCATCTGACCCAAAGTAGGTACAATCATTTTATATGCCTGTAAATGAATAATTCAAGCTGGGCAATGAATAAGGAATACTGGAGAAGAACTAATATGGTGCTGACATACATCATTGAATATACTATAGACTGTCAGAAAAAACAAACTGATGTGTCTTGGAAGAAGTACAGTTGGAATGCTATTAAGAATGTGGATGAAAAGATTTTGCCTCAAGTACTTTGAACATGTTAAGGGGGACCAGTTCCTGGAAAAGGACTTCATGCTTGGTAAAGTAAAAATCAGCTAAAAAGAGGAAGACCCTGAATGAGGTGAATTGACACAGTGGGCTAAACATAGCAACAGTTGTTACAATTGCATAAGACTTGCAGTGCTTTACTCTGTTGTTACATGGGTCACTATGAGTAGGAACTAAATTGATGGCTCCTAAGAAAATCTGAATGTGGAGATGATATTGAGGGATTTGGGATTTTCTCTTGCTCAACTTGATAGTAGGAAATGGAAATAGAGAGATAAAAGATATGAAAAGACGTTATATTCTTGAAAACCAGAACCTGCTTATAGTACCTCAGACTAGAACCCAGAGGGAGAATGCCAGAGGTCTTTGTTGGGTGCCAGTGTATTTGGTAAATAGATTGTCATGTGGTAATCGATTTTAAGTCATTTCTTGTCTGTGGTCTCAACCAGGACAATGCCTTTCCTCTTTTCAAGCTTCATTAAATCTCTTTTATCTTCTCTTTCATTTTTATTAGAAGCTAGTTTTAATTGGGTTAATAGACCAACACTTTGTGTAGTAGAGAGAGAAAAAAGTTCCAAGTCTTATAAATTAGTTTTAAAATATAATTAAATGGTGAGTTCAAATTAGAACCGTGTGGTATTACACTGCTAAATGTATTTAAGACAACATGGACTTTTTCTAATTAAGCCAGGATATTGTACATTGTTAATATTGCATATGTATGCTTATAGCATAAACAACTTGTATCTCGTGATTCAATTTGATAGGCTCTTAAAAAAGATTAAACATGCAGTATATAGTGAAACCAAGTCCCATCATAATTAGTTTAATGTTTAAAAAATATAGAGCAAAGCTGCAGTTGCTTAATGGTGCATTAGATCAGACATTTCTGCTTGTACATACAGCAAGATTTTGTAATATACTATTCTACAGACACTACATTATTCTCTCCATAAATAATCTTAGATTTTTATTGCATATTTAACTGAATGGCATTATGGCAAGTTGATAGTAGCATGACCTTCAAAATATTGCTTCAAACATATTAGTGTGCTTTGCTGCTAATCATTACAAATTGTGCCATACTACTTCATAAGCAGCTTTTTCCTTTTTGTTATTTAGATACTTTTCAACTGTCATAATTGCCATCATTTACATCAATGTTTTTCACAATTTGGGCCTTCAGTAAACAGCATGCTTATACTCATGTTTTTAATGATTTCCTTCAAAATACTTCTTTCAATTTCCAATGCAATATCCCCTCCTCTGCTGTTTAAGTCAATAGTTAGCTAAAGAGCAAAAAATATTTTTCTTTGAAAAAAATACTACAAGTTATTTTGATATGTAGTTTCTTTTCACACAGAACACAATTTGCCATGAGAATTTTTTTACTTTTTTAATTTCATGTTTATGTTAACTTAAAACCCCTTCTTATTAAAAAATGTTGCATGTATTTGTTTTTATATTTACTATCTGAAGTTTATAAGGGCCGCTTAGAACTGTTAAAGCCATGGCTTTCATATTTAATTAATATACTGACAGATATTGTCATATTATCCAATATATATTTAGTATGCTCTTTAGAATTAAGCTTAAATTACTGTACCCTGGACTGCAAAATATTTTAGGTCATATTTTGGGCTTGGACACTCATTTTTGAATTTTTCATCTTTAAATGTTCCTAATTTCCCCCATCTTTTCCTAAGATTGGTTTTAGGTAAAGAAATGATGAGATAGGAATTATACTCTAGAGCAACCGTAAACTACCATCCAGTTGATTTTGACTCAGAGCCACTCTATAAGGCAGAGTGGAGCTGCTTCCTAGGGTTCTGAGTCTATAAATCTTTACAGAAACAGAAAGCCTCCTCTTTCTCCCGAGGAGCTGCTGGTGGGTTTGAACCACTGACTTTTGGTTATCCACCCAATACTTAACCTACCACATCACCAGGGCTTTTTCGAGCATGCATGCTGATTGTGAAATAGAAGTTGCTTTCTTTTGGTGCCTTCATCATCATCATCATCATTCTCATCCTCATCAAGATATTTGGCTTCCTCAGAGATGTACCAGTAAAGGTTATGGTAATGCTTAACATTGTTATATGAGCTCTGGTACAAGAGTTTATTTGATCAATTTCTTTGGAATTTAGATTGTGTGGTCCCATAGAAATACAGTTTAATAATGATGAATTGCTTCCATTCAATCATATTTTTATTGAATAAATATTGACTATCTTCATAAGTGTCACCACAGTTGTCATCAGAATAACTAACATCTGCTGTATACTGAGTCCAAGGTATTCATTAGCACAAAATCCCCATGTGCTAATTAGCTTCTTATTTTTTCTGTGAGAAAATTAAATCCTAAAAGACTAAGTGAGCAGCTGAAGTGATACAATAAATATGTGTCAGATCCAAGATTTGAACCTGTCTATCTAAAACCTTTGATTAATGAATACTGATATGCCTTTGAATGAAATGATGAATAAGGAATTGGCCTTGATTTCAAGAAACTGTTTTTTAAATAGTGAGCGGCACAGAGAAATATTAATGGCTATGATGCAGTGTTACAAAAATACCTCTACAGCATATTTGAGGTGCACAAACTATTTCAAGGAAGTTTTCCAAGTGGAGGTGACATTGAAGAATAAATAAGATTTATCAAGACTGACAAAGTACATATACAGACAGTCCCCAGGTTACTAATGAGATCTGTTCCTAAGTCTGTCTTTATGTTGGATACGTAGGCAAGTTAGACCAGTTACATAAGGTTTTTATCAAGTGTCAGTTTGTCACAGGTTTGTCTTAGTATATAATTTATAGTTTACCTTTCCATGCATAAGAAACACTTCCAAATACACTAAAATATCCTAAACATACTACTAAGAATACAGTAGTATAATTAACTATATATAAATGTGAAACTACAATTGATTACCAGTATGAACCACAACTTGCCTGACTTCAGCAATATTGTCAGCTGTGAACCCCTGAAAAGCATGCACAAATTGGGGGCACAATTTGTTTTACATTCTTTTCATATTTGACTGCTTTACTTCATCTCAAGACTCAGCAACATTTTTGAAGGCCTCATAGATGAGGTAATACCTTCAAACCACTTTAAACTCATCACATAGTCTAGGATAA